GACAATTCCATTTCTAAATAGGCTAGTAACACAAGATGCTGGCAGTCTCTGTCCTTGTTAAGAGCTGCAGAGTACAGGGAGCTGATCCGTGCCTGATAAGTGTGGCAATCCCATTGCAAATACAGATATGAGAGGACAGAAGAAAGAACTTAGTGCTTCCTATACTATGACACAGAGTGCCCAAAACTCATCTGACGGATTTATCATAACATCAGGCATCAAAAGGAGCTAGTCAACAGTAACATAACTGTGACTATTACTTACAGATTTATGCTGGCAACAAAGCCAACCACAGAGCGCATGCCTCTGCTGGGGTCATGGTATACATCCATCCCGATCACCATTAACTGTTTCTAGGTTGATAAACAAAAACACAAATGCAAAAGTTCAGACCCAAGCAATACATTGCTCTATCTTTATTATCTTAACTTCAAAGCAACCTCCCTTAAAATTTACATATGAAAACAAGTTCTATTCCCATGGGGTCTTCATTTATCATGGTATCTCTTTCCTTGCATGGGAATAGGAAGAAGCAGAGTGCTAGAGATGTCCCCAGAAATCCACAAAGGTACCTCCACAATAGACAATAGGCAATGGTCGAGAGAGTGCCTGAGCTGACCTACTCTGGTGATCGGATGGCCAAACACCCTAACTGTCATGATAGAACTCTCATCCAGTGAATGATGAAAGCGGATGCAGAGATCCACGGCCAAACCCTAGGTGGAGCTCCAGGAGTCCAATCGGTGAGAGAGAGGAGGGATTATATGAACAAGAGATATCAAGACCATGATTGGAAATAGCACAGGGACAAATAGCCAAACTAGTGGAAACACATGAACTGTGAACCAATAGCTGAGGAGCCCCCATGGAACTGGACCAGGCCCTCTGGATAAGTGAGACAGTTGATGAGCTTGAACTGTTCGGGAGGCCCCCAGGCAGTGGAACCGGGACCTGTCCTTGGTGCATGAGCTGGCTTTTTGGAACCTAGGACCTATGCTGAGACACTTTTCTCAGCCTTGGTGTAGGGAGGAGGGGACTGGACCTGCCTTGGCTGAGTCTATCAGGCTGGGCTGACTCCCCAGGGGAGACCTTGCTGTGGAGGAGGTGGGAATGGGGGGGGGGCGGATTGGAGGGAAAGGCTGGGGAGTGGGAGGAGGGAGGACAGAGGAATCTGTGGCTGATATGTAAAATTAAATTAATTATAAAATAAAAATATTTTTTTTAAAAAAAGTTCTATAAAAGAAACAGAAAGACTGCAATCAATTTGACACTTTCTAAACACAATAAACCCGTCAGATCTAGACCAGATCAGCAAGTATTTGAAGAACAAATGAGGAAATCTTCAGGCTCTGTGAGCTGAGCATCTCCCTAGGAACCTTGTAACTCTCTGCCTTTTGAGGGCCACAGTGGTTAACGGATGCAACCGATGCTGTGTTCCAGTCAACGTGTACTTGAAATACTGAGAACCCAAAGAAGACAATCTTCAAGTGTCAGAAAACGCTGACCGTCACTTTTTCACCACTTGAAGATGTCAAGTACATGCTTAGCTCATGGTCTGTCTAGGAACATGCAGCAGCCCGCTGGACCCGAATCCACACTGAGAACAGAAAGGATGACAAGAGGGGAGGATGGGGAAGGGCCAGACACAGAAAAGACACATTTCAACATCACTCACCAGTGGAATATCGACTCCCCAGAGCTCACCACCCAGTTTACAGTTCATCTGCAGTAAAATTTTCTGAGCCACACTGCGAAGCCTGGTGGGTTGACCGATGGTTCGGACATTGATGACCTATAGTGACAGGACCAGAACATCACCAATCTCTCAGGAGATGTTAACAGTTCTAAAGCACTAGCATCTCTTGGCTCCATGCCCTCCCTACCTCCGTCCTTTCCAACAAGGAAACCGAAATCAGAGGATGCTCAACTCCCTCCCATGCAATGGTGC